AAAACCTTTCCTCTACCAGTTTAGGTTACTGAATGCTGCCTATAATTTAACTGACAATAGGCAGAACAAGAGGGGAAAGGAATGCATTTTTTCATATGTGTATATGAACGTATTAAAAGTGGCTGTCTGACAGTAAAGATAGGGGTTTACACATCATCCTTCAAAGGGGATAGCAGGAGAAAAAGGGCTTCTATTGAAAAACAAAAGTCAGGCGCCATGAAGTCCCTCAGGCAGGTCGTGTACCGGTCAAGAATTCTAACTTACTGATAAACAAGTTTTATGGTTGAGACATCTGGCTTACTGATAAACAAGTTTTATGGTTGAGACATCTGGCTTACTGATAAACAAGTTTTATGGTTGAGACATCTGGCTTACTGATAAACAAGTTTTATGGTTGAGACATCTGGCTTACTGATAAACAAGTTTTATGGTTGAGACATCTGGCTTACTGATAAACAAGTTTTATGGTTGAGACATCTGGCTTACTGATAAACAAGTTTTATGGTTGAGACATCTGGCTTACTGATAAACAAGTTTTATGGTTGAGACATCTGGCTTACTGATAAACAAGTTTTATGGTTGAGACATCTGGCTTACTGATAAACAAGTTTTATGGTTGAGACATCTGGCTTACTGATAAACAAGTTTTATGGTTGAAACATCTGGTCATCCACGTCTGTGTCCAGAGGTCACCACCCATTTAGCCACCCTACTTTCTCATACCTTGTACCCACTTTCCCCATAGCATTTTGTAATAGTTTGAATTAGCCAATAACCGCGCTTCTGCTTCTGTATCCCGCTTCTGCTCTATAAAAGTTCCAAAAACCCGGCCTGAGGCACGCAAGTCCTCCGAGGAGACTTTGTGCCCACAGGTACCTGTGTACTAAATAAACCTCTTGCTGTTGCAACCCGAAGGCTGACTTGTCCTCAGTGGTTTCACTCTTACAATAAAACCAGAAGAAACAGAAAATCAGGGAGAACCAATTCTTTGTCAGTGTGAGGGCTTATTTTTCTTCAACAATTATACTAGTCTTTGAAATTACACTAATTCTGTCAGTACAACTCTGAATGACATAAGAATATATCAATATATACATCTTTTATAAGAGTATGTCAATATAATAAAATGTAGGTTTCATTGTGATA